ACTTATGGCACTGCGATGGCGATGTATGCCTACTTCGTGCTTACTCGTCAGGTAAGACAGGAGAATATGGAATAAAGTAAGCTTCTTAATGGACTAAAATGTAAAGCTTTGCATGTACGTTTTTGGGTAAAGAAAAGCTGCTTTTATAGCTGTTGTCTGTATTGAGCCTTCGTGAATAACCGCAAATGTTTAGCTCTATTCACAGCAGAGCTTGGAGGACATCTGATAAACTGGTTCCTGTTACAAAGTGCTCCATCTTTGTCTTCCTTTAACCTGCAGGAGTATGTCTATCCTGATGCAAGAGATAGACAGTATCTGCTGTTCTTCCACAAGGGCGTGAAGAGGACACGCTTTGACATTGAGAAGTATAACAAGCTGAAGGATGATATTGCTGAGGTATGAGGATTTAGGCTCTTTGTGACGTGTTGCAGAAGTAATCTGAACTGTCTTGAATGTTTGTGTTCCTGATATATTGAGCAGAATTTATATTAGGTAGAGTGATGTTGGGATTATAGGCACATATAAAACATATAAATGCAGGGATTTGTTCTGTAGAGTACTGAAATCAAAATGGGTCCAATAGCATCTTTTAAGGAATTCGATTCTTAATGTCTCACCGGTCTGTAAAAGTAAAAATAAAATGGAAAATGTTTGTTTTTCTTGATGGAATTCCCATACTAGTGTTTAGATATTGTCTCTCCTTCCTCCTTGATTTTGCTTTCTCCCTTCCTTTCTTTTACCCTTCCTTCCTTTTTTGACGTAAGCCTCATTTCCACTTCCCTCTGAAAACCGATCCGTGCCGAGCTTGGATCAGTTAACAGTGCAGAGCTCTGTTCCGTTTACACACCAAGCTAGCACGGTTCCTCGTGTCCTAATGACAATCTATGGTACTACTGCTCTCTAGAGGTAAAGAAGCAAACCAATATGGCAGCACCCGTAACATGCAGGAAGATTGCGAAAAGTCAGGCGAAGAAGAATGAATGTCTGAAATTTAATGATTACAGAGGCTGACTATAAGGAGATGACGCTGTCTGCTCATGCGCTCTTTGTTATCAGAGAACCACAGCAGAACCGAACCGTGCCGAGCCCTACTGATGAACTAGTACCATGTTAGCTCGGTCCGGTTCAGTTCTGCGTACCATTTATAGTCTACAGTTATCTTTGTCATCATGCTCGGACCGATCTCGCCACGGTTTTAAAATGGTAGTGTAAATGGGGCTATAGAGAAACCTTCTTTCTTTCATCTCCACCTTGAGTCCTTAATTCCTTCTTTTCTTTGTTGCTGATGTTCTGTCTTTATTTCTATATGTACCGTTTCTTCTAATACATTATGTGCCCTTCCTCTTTTTCTTTCTAATGTCCTTCTTCCTTAATTTCTCTTATTTTTTCTCCATTCTTATCCTTTCATGTCCTTTATATTTTCTCTATTCCTAATTTAATCTTTTTCCAGTCCTTCCTTGTTTCCATCCTTCCACCCTCCATTCCAAATGTCCTTCTTTCTTCTCTTTGACCCTCTCACCTCCTCTGTGGTCCCGTCATCTTTCTTTTCTATCTGGTGCGCTACCCCAGTTATTTTGTTTGGCATTTAGCTTGTCACCCTCCTCTTGACTTTCCCTTTTTCACTTTTTTTGCTCTCTTACCTTTCTCATTGTCTTTCTACTTTTCTTTCCCTCCTTTCTATTGTCCTTTTAACTTTCTTTCAGTCTTTTTTTTTTCTCTTGCAGGTTCCATAAGCAAAGCCTGTTTTATGTTTTAGAGATGCTATAAGTAGTGAAGTTTGCAGAACTTTGTGCCGTTTTGCAAAATGAGCAGCCATGAATTGGGCTGATGGATCCAATATGGTGTCTGAGGAACATGCATCAGCAGGCATTAGTGGGAAACGCATACCAACTTTGTGGCGGTTTTAGATTAATTTGCTCTGAACATTTTTCCATTGGTTTTGTAAAAGTAGTTGTTTAAATGAGATGTTTTCTTCCTGCTCCCTTAACATTTGTCTTATTTCTACTCCTTATTCTCTCTGTTCAGGTGGAACTAGACCTGAAGCGCCTACGGGATCCTCTGCAGCTTCAGCTCCCGATTCAGCAGCTGCCTGCCGATAAGAATTGATGGCTAGCGTGACTCCTATCCTCTCTAATTTCCTGCAACCGACCTTCTTTCTTCCTCCTCCCTGCTGCCGTCTGAACCCCCTCCCCTT